CAATCAGGCAAAAATAAATTAATAAAAAAACCTAGCAGCAAAAAAAGAATCTAGCAGTTCCACACACACCCAATCCCCAAGCAGGCAAACAGCAGCAAAAATAAAAGAAAAAAAGAAAAACCCTAACTGCAGAAAAAGAAAAGGGGTACCATTGTTTGAAAAAGGTGATGTTTGAAACCTGCGCGCCGTGTGCGGAAAAATACCCCGATCCGTTTAATTTTAACATTTTGTTTTGGAACCGCTCGGAGGAGTTTTACCAACTTAGGCGTATCGCTACTAAGTTGGATGTCGCGCGGGTTTTGTACATTATTATGGCCGAAGGGCACAAATGGGATAAGCTAAACGTAACCTCCGAAACGGTAGCACACGTTATTAAAATGCTCAGGGAGGTAGCAGAGAGCGCAGACCCCAGCAAAAGAAAGAAGCTACAGTTTGTGAGCCTCCTCGCCCCCAGCCGGGCGCATCAGCTGACCGGGAATGACCAATTACAAATGACTATGGTTTGACCAATGAGAGCCCATGTTCGGGTCAGCCAATTAGAGGGCCGGTAGGCTGGTTCACGGGCCAATCAAAACAAACCTTTACCCCCGCCCGGCACACCGACTTTTTTTAAAAATTAAAAAAGCTTGTTTTGTACCATCAACCCCGTTTAAAGCGGTTGGTAATTTCCAGGCTGAGGAGAATAAAAGGCGAAGCCGGAACGCGGCTCTAAGCAAAAATAAGAAAGAGAAACACCAAGCGGCGGGTAAAGCCTTAGGCTGAAATGGGGCCGGGACAGCCGGAAGGTAACTCAGCAGCGGTGTAAAACGTTGTTCCTCAAGGACACAACAAAAGTAGGAAAAATAAAATAAACACGCAATTAAAAAAAGTATAAAGTTTACGCCAACGAGCTTTAAAAAAATCGGGGGTAAAGCAGCCTAAAAAGAAAAAAAGGGGCAAAGCAGCCTAAAAATTAAAAAGAAATACCGAACAAAGAAAAAAGCGGCGGGAAACCCCTCAAAAGAAAAAAAGGGGGGAAAGGAATAACCCAGCATAGCTTTCAGCAGCGGTAAAACGGCCCCGTCACACAAAATCAAAGCCACATGCGTAACAAAAGTAGGGGAAAGAAAATAAACACGGGGTAGTGCACGCAATTAAAAAAAGTATAAAGTTTACGTTTTAATTACGCCAATAAGCTTTAAAAAATCGGGGGTAAAGCAGCCTAGAAATAAAAAAAAAGAAAAAAATACCAAACAAAAGGGGGGCTATAAACGGAACGTAACTTTCAGCAAACAAACTTATAAACGCCTTTTTTTTTAAAAAAAGGACATGAGCAACGGCTGTTTTTGTAACCCCCCCCCACCTGGTAATAAACAAAATCTTATACCCCCTATCACACACACAAGACGCCCCGACTTGAGAAATTTTGGGACCCTTTAGGACGGCTTAAAATTTTGACTATGGAAAGCAACACGATGGTAAGAGCTTTTTAATTTGCGCGGGCGACTACGCTTTGTATGCTTGGGGTTTAAAAGTTAATAACTGCTTCTACTGGGATATATTTTATGCCCGGTGTTGTTAGGACTTAAAAGCTAACAACTGCTTTTTAACAGGAGGACGCCTTTTTACTGGATCTGTCCGAGGCCGCCCTGGCCGCCTTATATTTTGGTAAGTTTGGGGTTTGTTGTGCAAAGTTACAGCGGCCGTCGGTAAAACCTAAGGAGAGGGGGTAGGCTTGTTTTAAAAATGTTACAGGCACGGATTGTAAAAATCAAAGAGCGTTTTTTGTTTGTTTGTTTTATTTAGATTCGGCAGGGGAGCAACCCGGCGCTTTATCTGCTATTCCTGACCAAGAGGCCGTGCGA